ATATCTAGTTTTATAAGAGTTGTAGAACTGTAAAATAGTATGTGCAGAATGTAAAAGACCTTCATAACTTCATAAACTGTATTTAGACTCCAACCCATGTTCAAATTTCTGTATAAACTTTAAAAGTTATTGGTGAATCGGTGAACCTAGAAATTTTTGTTCGTTTAGTTTCAAAAAACAGATAAAGACTGGAAAGTGAAAAGGGGTAGTAGTATGGACAGTGAATGGACAGACATACATAAATTTAAGCTAAATAACACAATTTAACTACAATTTTCAAAAATTAGTTTTAAAGTTAACGTAGAAAGATGCTACTGGTATCAAAAAACGTAAAAACATTCAAGAAATCTGAATATGCAAAGATCATGCCGATTAAAGCATACAGGAAGTCAATATTTTCAAAATAAAAATTATCAAAAGTTTGTTATGACAGTTCCATAGCAACCATTCTTTTGTTTTTACTTCAATGAAACCAAAGTGTGAGCTCATCGTAGCTAGACTCTCATAAATTCCTGAAGAAACAATATTGTCAATTTGTTTCTAAAAATAACAATTGAAAATCAATGTAAATCAATAAGTTTGTGCAAAAGTTACCTATCCAGTCATCCATGCGGAGAAATATCTCTGACAGCTATAAATGTCAAAAGTTCGAATCACACATTTCACTGAAATACCATAAGGGCTCTTACACACGGACGGTATTTTTCCGATCGGCATTTAAAACGGTCGGCAAAACAACCGACTAAATTTTAAATTACACATATTTAAATACATTTTACACACAGAAAGTGTGTAAGAGGCGTAAAGTCTGAAAGTTTATCGATAACTACAATCAATAAATAAAAGTGCAACACCAAATTTGAACTGATTACAAATTAAATAAAAAGTGAAAAAAGTGAAAATTAATTAAGAAGAATAAAAAAGTGTAGTGCCGGAATACGGACCGGAATTATCCCGGTAGAGTACGTCCAGAACGAGTTTCCGGATTTCACCGCGGGATTCCACGAACAGGACCACCCAAGGAAATCATCGAAATTCGAGAAAGGAAATATAACCAACGTTACAAGATAACGTGTTTAAGTTGTATACAGGGTCGGAAAGTCCCCATGGTTCATCGGCCGTTACGTGAGAGCGATATAGAAAGTCATAGAAATCCGTGCGATAGAGAAAGATGGCTATAATGAAGGCGTCTAATAGTCACCGCCCATTTCGCCCTTCCACAAATAAGATCCACTTCTTATTCTAAGTTTAGTATGACGTTAGAAAGATAAAAAAACGTTAATGTTCTAAATAAGGAAAGTATCGTATCTAATTGGTCATTTCTGAATTCAAAACAACTACACTTAGATTCCTGTGCAAAAAGTTTTGCAAATAAATGAATTTGACAGTCACGTAACTAAATTGTAATATTTACAGGAATGGCAAATTTTATTACTGAAGGAAAGTGTATTTTGCAGTAGACCTCTATCTTAATCAAAACTGATATGAATGTATACTGGATTTTCTATTCACATTGTACAAATAATAAGATACAATAATGAGACAAATAAAAACAATATATAAAAACATAACCTTTTTTATTACTATTATAAGTATTATTATTTTTCTTCATATTCTCATTAAACTTGCGTATTATGACGTGCCGAAACGAGGTCCTGAGATTTATTGATGTGTAAGGACCTTTAATTTAATTTCATTATTTCATTACCCTGCAAGACCCAAACACGAGCAGAACGTAAACGACCCTAAAGTAGCCAAATAGTCGGTCTGCGACAACCATAACCGTAAACCCTCGAATAAAACCTTCAGTTGTCCTTTATTCTGTTGTTTGGGGGAAGCCCCGTTCTCCGAATATAATATAAAAATATTGACAGTTATTTTTCCGCGTTTTTGGAAGACAGCTGTCTAATAACTTTTCATACACGGGTGGCTTACTGCACAGACGTTGCGACGATCAAATTTGATGTATATTTCGAATAAACCGACTCATCATTCTAATTTCTGGCGAAATATCTTGCGTTATATTATGTGGATATTATATTTAATATTTCATCTTGTTCATAGTCAAGTTGGGAATGGTGTTGGGTAAGACGGAAAAACATCATATTGACGAAATGAACCGACACGGAGCAGGTTCACATAGTGTGACTTAAAATAAGCTTATTTAAACAACTTACTTATGTACAAACCTGCACCCCTGAAGAGATTTAAGCTCCCAAAGGGATTCAAATTTCACAAAAAAAAATAAACAGCTTTACAACCCTTTAACGTAGAAGATTCGAATTTAATTGATACTCTATTCAAGATCATTACGCATCTTAGTTAACAATAAAGTTTAATAGGGGCATTGAGTTGGAGGGTTGATTATGGCAGTTCTACAAAACAAGTTATTTGAAATTTCCACAAAATATTATCCTTGTTTTGCTTGAAGATATGCCATTGCATCTAAGATACGAAATGAGATTTGTACACGGTGAAAATTATTATGTCCTAAAGGGCTTGAATGATCGTTGTTGATCAGAACATTGGTTGGAACTTGTATCATAGAACACAGTGTTCTCTGGTTGTATGTTTACAGTTAAAAAAAAACTTTGAATGGTAAATATTAAAGTTCATTAAAAATTCTTAAGAAACGGTCCTCTTTTCCAAGTCGATAACTATATTCAAGAAAAAACTCTTTTAAATGCTTTGTTTCAGGAGGTTGGGACTACGTTTTCACTTCAAATCTATATATCACTTTTTTTCACATGTATAAGTTAACCAAATAATTATGAGATTTTAGAGCTTACAATTGTGTAAAATATAATTTTCTTTTATATCTGAATTATTCTATTTCATTCATTATACTGCAAAGTAAGTCTGGTTAACCGATAAGGAATTTCAGAATATTCAATTCATTTTTTCTCGGTTATGATTAGTGTTACCATCTTGGAAAAAGAGGACTTAACTAAATTTTCTGCAGTATTATAATAATTCTATAACTGTTTACAAAAAAAAATGTAAATTAATTTTTTATTGCACATGGAATTTTGAATAGGTGGTCACTAAAAGTCCGGAAAATTCAGTGGCATTCAAATCGGCCCTTTGCTATCCCTCAGAATATATAGAACTTCTACGCCAATGTTTTTTTATTACTTAACTTAAGTGTTACACTATATTTAAAATTAGAATTGTAACAAAATAATTATATTATTTTTTTGCAAAATGAACTTATTTTAGACAAAAAGAAAACAACGCGAAAACGATTAGTAGATATTTTGAAAAAAGTAGAAGGTAACTTTTTCTTTGAATATAATATAAAGATGTTTATAAATGCTCGAAATGCATACCATTATTTTCAATGCATGAATTTAATCTTCGCTGCGTGCTTAGGTAGGTTCTTTTATAAACGTATTTTGTTTTGGTAATCAAATTTCTTTTCGTTAGCGTTGTGTTCCTCAATTTATTATCATTATTTATTTTTTGCTCACTAATTTGCGAGTAACTTGATAACAAAAAAGGATATCGAACCCTTTTTGGCGTCAAAATGTACCTAGCTATCTTTATGCTCTTCAAACTAACCTAAGTATAAAAAGTTATATCCTGCCATTTCACTTTTTTTTAGTAAACCTAAACTTGGATAAATAGCGCCAATAAATAAACAACACTTTCGTTAGAAATTTTGAAACTTATACTATATTCATCAATTTTTGTGCTGAATTCATTTATGTAAATAAAACTATAGCATTGCTTTTTTGAGAAAAATCCAGAAAACGGCATTGTTTTGAAATAACGCTATCTGTAGATTTCCAGATCGAGATAAATAGCATTACGCATTCTCCACGAGATAAACCATGAATAAACCTTTCCAACGAGATATAAGACTATGGGCTTTTGATGAGCCAATCCTTAAAAGTATGCATTTTTCTGATCAGGCACTAGGGGCTTCCCACACCCTTTCCGTCGAGAGAGAGAGATATAACAAAACGTCAATAGCAAAAGTTATGCACAATGAATCCGGCTATCCATATTTTTATCTACTACTTTAATATACATGAATAGGAAACATTTCTGAGAAAAATTCAACTCTATGTTTTAATATGTAGATTGCGCCCCCTAGCGGCTGAGCTACGCACTTGAACACTATTTCCAGCGTTTTCTCTTGGTCGATTTATTCATCAATTTTTCCAAATATATTTTTCAAACTTTTCCTAATATTGTACCTCGCCGACCTTAGTGGGACACCCTGTATATTTTAAAAGTTATATTGAGTATTACATGAATGTTTATGTACTGAAAATAAGACATACATGAATTTTACTTGAACATTCCGTGGCAACAGGTTATCATGAAAAGTTCGAGAATTTTACCATACTTTTTATTACAGTGTGGACTAATTGTAAGCTAAATTTAGACCAATTATCATTTTTTATCCTCAAAAATAAAGAACTTTCATAAATGTTTAAAAGCCACGTGACCGCTGAGCTTAGGCACGATTCGCACTGGCACTAAATCTTGACGTCTTTACTTTGAACAATGACAAACCGTTGTGTCGATGCTCGAGATAATGCGATCGCTGCGTGGTTGAATAGTATCTCGTGAAAAATTGAACCAATCACAGACGATGAAACAGAATGTTGAGTTTTAATATGATCTTGACCTTATTGTTTTAATAATATTTAATTTAACCGAAATTATTTGCCAACATGACGGAAATAAAACTACTATTCCACGTGGCTTGTAATCATTTAATAAGGTTCTGTATTTACGCTTGCTGTATTTACTCTGTAGCACTTGTACTCCTTCACAAACGACTCTAAAAAATGGGTAGGCTGCCCCTTGTATACGCCACTGTGATACCGCTCTACAGACCTCTTGGACCTGCACTACCCATTTTGCTCGAATAATAATTCTTGATAATTTTCTAAAGGAATTTACGTAGGCGTTAACATCCCGGAGCTTCGCCTCGATCATCACCATTAAAAACTAGTTAATATCAACCCATCCGTCCTCTTTTCCAGGTGCACCTCTACTTCAGCGCCCTGCCCGAGGATAAGGTGCCGTACGTGAACTCTGTAGGGGAGCGGTACAGGGTGCGCCAGCTCCTGCAGCAGTTGCCGCCCCACGACAACGAGGTGCGCTACTGCCATGCCCTGTCGGACGAGGAGCGCAAGGAGTTGCGGCTGTTTTCCGCCCAGAGGAAACGCGAGGCCCTCGGGAGGGGCGCCGTCCGGCAACTGCCAGGACCTATGCAGTGTGATACGGTGAGTTAAGAAAAAAGGAAAAATTTTAATTTGGAACGGTTCAGAGTATATTTAAATTTGAAATAAAAAAGAAATATTGAATTTTAAAGTGCTTATTAGTCTTTGTTTGCATTTCTATAAAAATATGGTTAAAATAATGTTATTGCAAATTTTTAAATGTACTCGGTGGCGGAACTCATTTGGTGATAAGAATAAAAATAAGAGTACCTATAATCATGATTGTCGATGTCGTAAGAATAGCAATCAGAGCAGATATCCATTAGGCCGTACTTATAAAAATAAAGTATTTCCTTTAAAGGTAAGGGTAAAACTAAGAGGTAGAACTCATAAGGAAAAGCTAAAAGGAAAAGTTTTTGCTTTATTTCGTCTCCATAGTCTTTCCCTTTTCCTTGCAAGCAAATCCTCGCAAAAAGAAGGAAAAGATAGACACGCTCCAGTTACACTCATTATCAGTAGAATTGCCCTTTAATAGGATGGATATTTTAAAAAGCTACTAAACGACATTATGAGAGAACATTATAAACTAGCGGCCCGTCCCGGCTTCGCACATGTGGACATTTAATTTAAACATTTTGGGATATAAAAAATATAGCCTATGTTACTCAAGGATAATGTAGCATTCTAATGGTGAAAGAATTATCTAAATCCGTCCAGTAGTTTTTGAGTTTATTCATAACAAACATACATACATACAAAAATACAAATCTTTCCTCTTTAGAATATGTATTAGTATAGATAAAAGCAAGTTTCCATACCACTCATGAAGTAGTTGCTTATGCTTCGTTACCATTTTTTTTATAGTTGCTAGTTCGCCAGTAGCCCTATTTTCCACATTAAATTGATAATTCTCCAATAAACAACGTTCTAACATTAACAAAATGAAACATGTTTCAAGTAATAATACAAATAATCATGAAAAAAACGTAACACACATAAAAAAATGCAGATATAATAATACAACAATAAAATAACAAAATATAATTTTCTTCTAGTTATAACACAAATAATATTGAAAAAAACCATAATAACAATTCCAAAAATAATACCGCATCTAAAGACAATCACCCAGTCAGTTTCCGGTACTCCATTATCACTCATCACTATCACTATCACTATTACCGACATTGATAATAAAATAATCGATGACTTCATCAACCTTATTATCTACATCCCATATTTTCTTTTCATCTTTTTCAGCGTAATTAATACACTTTCTCCAGTCTTCTGTTATAACGTTTTCTAATGCTTTCTTAAGATGGCGTTGAACATTAGCCAAATGATCTATTTTCTCGAGCCACTTCCCCTTTAACTTATGCCCAAATTAACTCGATTGGATTTAGTTTTTCTTATGACATATTTCGCATCTTCGTCAACTTTTATTAACTATTTTCTTTCTTCCCTTCTCCATGCACTTTTTGTTCTCTAAAGATTTTATATACATTAGCCTTTTAAACTCCTGTATAATCCGTGCACATATCTGTTAATTCTTGTATTGAACGCCCTGGGTGATCTCTTTGCAGGCGATGAAATACACGTAAAATAATTTAAAATAATTTCGCACACACTTCGCACTTCACAATTAAAAACAACTTCACCTACACTTCACTACAGGTGCTATATGCGAATGAAATAAATAATTCATATTTGCAACAGAAGTTTCTCTGGACTAGATGCATATTTTCTGAAGGAAATCCTTAAAGTTTTAAAGCAAATGATACTCTTTACGAATACCAAAAAAAGTAAAACCTTTTCCTTTGGAGCAACACCTTTTTGCTTTAAGTCCAAATCTTTTCCTTTTTTATGAATATAATGTAATGCTTTGATTTCTGTAAGTAAAAGCAAATCCTCATCTTTATAAATACGGCCTATTAACTTTGTTCTTAGTGCACTAGAATCGGGTTTAAGGGCCCCATATTCTTTAAATAGTGTTTTCCGCAAAGACAAATAATTTCAAACATTTAATAACTGAATCATCTAAAGCTTATCAAATAATAGGAATGTTATGTCATACCACCTGAGTATTTTCAAAGACGCCGCAGTAAAACGAATAAACAGGTGCAAAAAACGATCAAATCATCAAGGTTTTAGGTACTGAAATCTACGATTTTTTTTTATATACAATTCCACATGTAAATATTCTTATAACATTTACTTGCTTAGTCCTACATATAAAATTGTTTACTTTTATTTATAAGTACGTGAAAATAATTCTTATAATGTGGGGTTAGAATAACAGCAATCGCATGTTTTACAAACGCTTTTTTTTAGTTATTATTTTATTTGAGTAAATTTAAATGGTAACAATGAATAAACAAAACATCAAGGATTTTATTTTTGTGCTTACTTTTGTTTACACGTTTTACTTTTAAAGATTTCAGTACCTAAAAACGCCAGAAATGTCACTATTTCTCGTCCAGGAATATGGCCACCTTAAGCAGTCAGACGCAGTTTCACTTGATTCAAAACAATGAATTGAATCTTATGTGAGCATTATGTATTTCGCAATACGCATGACTGTTGACAGTTGAAAACTTCCTTTAGGAACGAAGCTATTTTGAGCACATGCATTTAATATACACTTTTTCTTTGTATGAAAATGGGTTTATACTTTCCGAATGAGTTCCCAATATAGTTGAAGTTCGGTTCTTGGCATACTCCTTTTTGTAGCGAAGCTGGAAAAGACAATTGCGGCTGCATTTATATTCATTTTGCACTGTAAAATTATTGCTATATATACCAGAAAGTCTATTCGCAATCATGACATTAAAGTCATACGCAGATTTTTCTGAAGAAAATGTGCAATGGATAGCTAACAATTTTTAAATATGGAATCAAGAGGTAAAACAGGTGGTGTAATCTATTATACGAGGTTAGATCGAAAAGTAACGGGAATTGTTAATTTTCTCTAAAAATATTTTATATAATCTTTCATTTTTATCCGATCCCTTCAAAGTAGTCCCCTATTATACACTTATGCCAACGTAGGTTCCAATTTGAGAATCACTAGTGGAACGCCTCTTTGGATATCATCTTGATCACGGTTTCCGATTTTGCCTGTATCTCATCTATTGTTGAAACACATTGTCCTTCGTTCGGGAAATAGGAAAAAGGTAATTGCGGCATCACAACGGTGTTATGTTTCGCCAAGAACTGCTAGTCTCTGGTGTTCTGCGTGTGCGTTGTCGTGGTGCAAGATCTATGAGTTGCCTCTTGTGTTCTTGTCATTTTCTCCTGATTGTCTCACGCAAATTGAATTGTTGAAAACAATATATTTACAAGGATCATTTTAAAATTTGGTTGGAGGATTCTTAGAATTTGCAGTGTCTTTTTAGGATGTGTTGAAAAATATATTTAAGGTTTATTCATTTCTTAGTTTATTTATGTTAAATGCTTGTGTACCCGAAAATCGTAATACCCTGTATTCGCAGCTAATATTATGGGAAATAACTACTCTGCGGGTTATATGTCATGTTCAGCACTGAATTACACCCGTAACATCTAGTAAACATTCGTCAATAGAATCTCCAACAATAGAACGGTCTCAAACTTTTAAGTTTTCGTCAGTATGCCATAGATGATATAACCAACGAACAATTTAGCTATTTTATAGAATAAGCAAATGAATAACTTGTCACTTCACCTAGCGCGATGCTATTCATGGTTTTATCAGATAACACTATACCAATGAGAAGCGACAGAATCGGCGGTTCCTTTGATGTTTTGTGGTCAGGCTAGAGTCGACCAATTTGACAGAAACACAATCGTTTACACTGAGAAGTTACACTTTTGAATAGATGTACACTGAACGAACTGCATCAGTATCAAACATTGTTCATATAATACAAGGATAACTGTGGTAAAATATACACAAATTATGTATAATATATAAAAAAATAAAACAAGATGTTTTACAACTAATATTTTTATTAAACAGGTATAATATTTTTCTGCAATATTTGAAATAGTTTTTTAAAAATAGGTATCTGACAATGCAATAACTTCTTTGGGACAATCTTCCACAATTTTTGCCTCTAGCTCTTCTTGCCCATTTCTAAATTGAGGAAACTGTATAGGTATTCCGTTTGGCAATAAGGTTATTCTTACATTCCCTTTACTAATATATTTGGTTTCGAAATGGTGTTCACAAAGCCTATAATTCTTATATACATCCACAATCCTAGGCAATAAATCGAGTCTATTGCAAGTTTCTATCCACACTCGAGCACTGCAAACAAAAGTAAAAATTCTCGTAAAGATATTTTCTATACTTATGCAATACCATATTACAAGAAAACATACCACATTATTTTAAAAATCAAAATACTTTTTCTGATTTACAGTTTATAGGTAGGTACTTAAAATAATAATAATAATTACCTTTCTAATCCTTACGTAATCTCAAAAGGGTTAATCCTTCACCAGTTTTGGATGAACAATCGCGAAAAGCATAATAATAACCATGCATTTTATTGATTTCAAGTTGATTCTAATTGTAGATGGAAACGAAATACAATACAAATAAATCCACTATCAATTAACATTATACAACACAACTGTCCACCGCCAAAAAACTATTACTCGTTTCTTCTATTTATATTTGGCGGCTCTGACAGCTACTGACCACTGACAACAACACAACCCAATTCGCGCATGCGCATACGAAAACTGTTAAGCCTTGCTGTCGCTTCTCGTTGATATAGTGTTCTCTGGTGTTATATTACCTACAGATTAGTATGTTGCTCTCTGTCAGCAAATACAAAGCAGCGCTTTGTGGCAGTAAACAGGAAACAAGATTAACTCATCAGAATTTGGATTTTCAGCAGTTTTTTAAATATACCACAGCAAAAATTTACACATTCCGTGAAGTCAGTGCTTGGTCACTGGTTTAATATGGTAAGGATACGCTTTGCTTTTTCCTCCAAACGGTTTGATGAGAAACATTCAAGTCTGAGGCAGCTTTTTTAGTGCTAGTTACGATACTCTGTAATTTCGTTTAAAAC